CCTCATTGTACCTGAGTTTTTCAGGACCAAAGTCTACCCTGATATACCCTGTGTGCCACGAATACACTGCTCGAGAGTAGTATCCAATTTTGCCAACACTTTTCTATCATTCTATGCCAGCTGCTGAGGAGAAGAAGTGGAAACCTTGAGACAGGCACAAGCCCTATGCACCTTGTGGAGGGAATGGAGCTGTGTGAGTGTTTGGTGTGTCATCCACTCAGAGGCTCGCGGCGTGTCAACACTGCTTTTGCAACAACAATTGTGCAAATTGAGGGCTCATCTTCATGTTGTTCAAGTGAAATCAGCCCGACAAACTACTCTCAACTCTTTTTTCAGTAGTAACCTCTCTCCCATGGATGTCGATAGCCTGTAAATACGCAGTCTTTCCAGTTTTCGTCTCGCTACATAAAGGACATTTCGAAGTGTGACATTTTTTGGCTGAGGTCACAAATAGTCACATTTTGTGACATATTTCATCTTGCATAAATCTCACAATGCATAGAAAAAGTCGGGGACCGGCATTATGCATTGTGAGAATATCTACTGTATATGGAGAATGTGCATGCGCCCACCCGATAACCATAGAGATGCCCAAAAACAAAAAAGCCGCAACGGCTATCCTGACCACCTCTTAAGCGCATTTTTAGTGCTGCGTCAATCCTGCCTCTTCTTTCCTTTACCCTCAGGCTCTTTCGACGCTCCCGAGCACATCTTCTTGTGATTAGGCATCGACCTCTTTGACCTCTTCATGCCGCACATTTCACACGTGACTTTCGTGAGGCCTCCAATCCCGGCATGCGACTGGGTTTCGTTGACGTGGCGCCTGAAGCCGTCGGATGTCATTGGGAACGCGCCTGGCTTAGGATCGCAGCCTGCCCACTTGCACTCCTTGACTCGGCCATTCTCCTTGACTTTTTCCCCATGACCTCGGAAATGTTCGAAGATCTTTGTTTCAGCCATGGGACCTTCGGAGCAGTCCCCCCATTGGCAATAGAACTCGGACTCGCCTGATATCAGAGTACGATGTGAAGCCGACAAAGGTCCGCCTAGGTTGTGTTGTTTCTCACGGTGCGGGGCTTGAGTGCTCATGGTAGCAGGCGATTTACGGGATTGCTGCTCATCAACTGGAAAGGCCCCCTTAAAGGGAGCTTGGGTGAGGGGCTGCTTCGTCCCATACACAGGCATCCATGCTCCAGTGTAGCTTTGGCTGTTTGGCGCGATCGTGGCCTGAGCCACAGGATTGTACGGGGAATAGCCACCCCCCATCTGGGCATTCGAATGGAGACTCATGGTGGCAGGCGCGGTAAAGGCCTGTTGCCCGTAGATGCCTTGATGCCACCCAGCCATCGGAAAGTGGGCGACGGGCGTGGTCACCCCATCCATCGCGATGAGTTGGTCGAGATATATTGGAGTGCCTTGGAGATAGTCGTTTACTGAGAAATTCGCGGTACCAGTCGACTCCATGACGTTATCGCGTCCTTGGGAGTTGGGGAGAGGGTTGGTGACATTCGTTGACCTGAATCATGTATGAGAGAAAATCTTGGTGAAGGAGTCGACTTACAACGTCAGCTCGACGTTCTCTGCCATGGTCTCAAGAACCTGTTCGTTGAAGTTCGCATCAGACCTCATCATCCTGGTAAGTAAAAAGTCAAAATGAACAGGTTCCACTAACCGTGGATTGGGTAATGCGAGGATAAAGGCGTCCAGTTCTGACCAGGTATCATCATATCCTTCAACGCGTTCAGTCAATGGAAGCGGGTCGGAAGGGGCGACTATCTCAAAAGAATCCCCACTCAAGTAGTCGCTGGCCCTGGAAACATGAACGTGAGTGCAACAAATGGGTGGAAGAAGACCTTGCAACAACCTTTGTGGAATTAAAGCGGTCTCGCCAGCTGTCTCCAGCGCCCTGCCGCCGTCACCCATGTGACTTCCATCTGTCAGAAACGGCGTGCGTTGCGTTGCCGGAGACTCCTCGGGATTTAGGTCGCCAGGTTGGAGATGCCTGAAGAATGGGACGTCAGGAAGAAGCGCGACGCATTAGTGTGCGGCATTGACTCACCGTCTACGATTGAAATTATTGTTGCCGGCTGTAAATATACCATGATCTATCCAATAATCAGGAATTCGATCATCGCTATGGAAAGTAAGCACTGATGAGAGAGGATTCAAAAGAGGGGAAGCGCACAGGGCAGAAATCGACGAGTAGTCCTGGACTTTTCGTGAATAGTTGGAGACGTGCATGAAAAGGGAGTTGGGGCAGGGTAGGAGGGAAGGTGGTCGTGGAAAGATAAGAGAAATGGAAATGGTATGTCCAACAGCCATAAACACACACGCAGGATTCTTTGGAGGAATCGAGGCGGTGCTCAGGCAAACCTTGGAATCGCAGTGTTCGTCCTCGAATTATCTTCCATGCTACGTATCACCGATGCTGAAATCGCAAGCGAGTGCCAGCGGTCCGAAATGAAAAAGCTGGGGAGTACGTGCGCGAGGCTTTCTTGACGACCTCGTGAGCAGCAGTACGGCCGCTTTGATGCCGTGAACGCACTCTCAAGGATATTGATTTTGGAGGCTTGCGCAACAAAGGCACCGTACCGGAACAAATTAGCTGGGGATACGAAGCTTCGCACAACTGAAACGATGTTGCTGGTGTATGTCTTTTGGAGATCAAACTGCAGACTGTATGGCTTTGAGGCGAGTTACATGGCCAAGCAGCTTGGAGTATATAGGAGTCGGGGACTTGGCGTTAAACTGCTGGAAGATGATTTCGGGTTCCGATGTGAGATCCTCTATCATGAACGGCGTCAAGAGACATTGGAACCAGTCAATAGGGGGCATCCGGACGTAACATATGTTCAAGGCGCCATCTCAAGAACTGATGGCTGCATGCCTCGCGGAACATGTCCTTCGCGTCTTGCAGCATCTCAGCTGGGCTCTTGATGCCTATATAACCAAGATACTGGCGGATGGTATGCGAGTAACCGCCAACGACAGCATCCGCGTGTTTGGCAGCAAGCTGTGCTTCAAGTTCTCGGATCGACGTGATGTGCACCAGCTTGAGTGTAACGTCTTACATGTTGTTGGCTCGCGCGTTCTTGATCATGCATTCAAAATCTGTTCGCGGACCCGTTGCTTTGTCCAACCTTGGGTCCTCGTGGAAAACTTGATAGCGGCTGAGGTGGTGCCAGTGGATACAATCTTTAAGATCGAACGCGGATAGATAGGAGACTCCTTCAACGAGATCCTGCCACCGCGTACGGGGGACTGGTGCTCGTGCATGAGGCCAAGTGTATGGCCGAATTCTCGCAAAATGACAACTTTCTCAGAATTGTTGCCGTTGATGAGGCCGAACAAAGCCGACTTCGTTCTCAAGAGCTCAAGTATGCTGAGACAGGAGTGACGACGTGCGCTTCCGTTGTCCCACACACCTTCGTAAGGACAGCTCGCATCGCACCACGACGGCCAGGGCGTCCGACACCTGCTTTGACGGATAAGGAAGCGCCCTTGTCGAGACATGCTTGAGCGCAAGCGCTCTGGAACCTGGTCACCGTTGGGGTTTCGTCACCTTGAGCGGCAGCAGAGGTAGCGGTATCGAAGGATACTAGACTCGAGGGGCAGCAGCGGAGTTGAGAGCGACTGGGAGAATGACGGTCGTAGTGCTAGTCTTTAGCGAAGGAACGACCGCCGCAGGCTGAGTAGCAGAAGCTAGCAGAAGACATAAAAGGAAGTAGAGGTCTGTAGAGGTTGGGGGAAAGGAAGAAAGGCCTGGGAAACGCCACATGCGCCACATATAGCATGAGCCAAGAGGTCAGCAGGGTAAATTGCTATTGTGTCGTCGATGTTTGTTCGAGAGTTTGAAACCCATCAGGACTTGCAGATTATCTTGCTTCGATCTTGCTCTCCACCTTCCTGAGTCTTGAAATTTTCACTAAAGATGTATATTTATGCATGATGTTTACTGTCCTAAATTTTCCGAGAGAAATTCTTGTGCTTTTCATTACACCAGCCAAACAAAATAAATGGAATTTTCTCCAGATCGGTTGTTCTGTTTATTCTAAAACTTTCCAATTGTATTTAAATAATATGTGAGAGTTCAAATACCAATTTTTAGAGAGAGAAAACACAAACTTGCTGTGCTGCTAATACAGACGGGGATGGTTAGCTATTTTGAGATTATCATTGTTGATCCATTATGGCATCATGTCTCGCGAGATGGCCATTTTGGTATGACTCAGGTGACTGGTGGGGTTTTCGTCACCTTCAACGACAGCAATTTCTGTGGTAGCGGTATCGAGACCAGAGGGGCAGCTTGGGGGCAGCAGTGGAGTTGAGGGCCTCGTTTGATCACGACCCTGTATGACAGGGAAAAGCCAATCTGGAATTTTGCTGGAATTGATCGCGACGGGCTTGGAATCCGAGATACGTTTCCGTGTTTCCTCCCACTTCAGAGGACCCCTGAAAGTACCCTCAGATGCCGTATTCCAAAATGCCCAAAACCGACCGATTTTTATCCGGTCAGTTTTGCCAAATTTCTATCCGGTTCCGGCTCGGCCCTATAAAAATTACTAATTAAATATCAAAAAGAAAGTTAGCATGAAAAGAGTGAATTTTGGCTTGGTGCAGACTTCTAGGTATTTAATGGAGGTCTGCACATCAGGAAAAAGTAGAATATACATGAGTGATGTAGTATATGAGGAAAATATATATATATATTAAGGAAAAATTGTTTTTACTACAAGAAAGAATGAAGAATAGGGCGAAAGAAAGATATTCAAGTACATAGCAATGAATAAGTTGACGGCAGCGTTGTGGCCATCTCAATTTTCACAGGGCAAATTTCTATCCGGACATCGGCTCAGGCCTCGCCCAGCTCCACTCATTTCTATCCGGAAAACCGCCTCCGGCCTTTCGCCAAAATAACGAAATTTCTATCCGGACAGACCTACGGGATTTCAAAAAAATTTGCTAATTTCTATCCGGTCCTGGACACGGCATCTGGGCCGTTAGGTGTAGAGGTGTGTGAGAGTCTCAGGAAAGGAAAGAAACGCCGCGTGACTGACTCCGCATCTGGTGTTAGGTCCCACCTCGTACTTAGAGGTTTAGAGGTAGCGGTGTATTCCGGAGCGGTCCCAATGACGAAAGTAATTGCGCTCCAGAAGAGTGAATGTCTTCCTATCTTCTGTCTTCCTATGTCTTCTAAGTTCTGGGGAGGCAATCTTCTACCCAGGGCAGCTACCGAAATAGACCTTCTGGAATCTGAAGCCTTCTGATCGGGCGGAGGATTTATTTGATGGAACCCAAATGGAGCCTTCCAAAGAGTCCGAATGCAGTGCCTGCCTAGTCTCGGAAACCCATCCTCTTTGGGCACCCTTCCCAATTTGGGTCCCTTCCCTTAAGAGTCTGGGAATCTTCCAACGACATCAACGTACCTTTGTCTTCGCCAATTTCTCGGCGGTTATGTAAGCTTTATGTCTGCCTTTCTGAACGCATCATTATCATCGCGTCCTCGTCGCCACGTCCATCCCTCGCGTTATCCGCTCCATATACCTTCAATACAATCTAGTTATGTCACCTATCTATGTATAATCAATCAGGTCCCCCTTTCATGTGCTTTACTCTGCTTGGTTTTGATGAAAACACCTGTGCAATACCAGGCGTCTCGAGCATCTCAACACATGTGTAGATGACATGTTTCTCCCCACCACGAGCAATTTCCTCAAGTTCCGCTTTGCCGTTTGCACCAGAATGAAGAAAGGTACATTTAATGTTTGAACCGGAATGTCTATTATACATGACATAGCTTTCAATACATGGTCATTGGATCTTGAAGCCCAAGCTTGTATATGGTATAACCACCACAGAAATCGCTGTGGAAGTTGGAGAAGGCAAAGGCCTTTTGTCGAGGATGTCCTGGATTGTTGAGCTTGTATGACAGTGTCTTGGGCTTCGATTCATAGCCATTTCGATAGATTTTCCGGGGCTTCTGGCTGGCAAGTGGATGTTGTGGGGTGGTGTAGGATAGATTTTGG